AGAGAGAGAAAGACAGAGAGAGAGAGAGGACAGAGTGATGGAGAGGAAGAAGCATGAAGAGAGGAAGAGGTGGGTTAGACATTGAAGGAGAAAGATGAAAAGCGAGACAGAGAGAAATGATGCATGAATTATTATCACCAGGGGTCGGATATTCTGTGTATAGCAACTACAGAAGAAAGTAGAGGGATTATATGGAGAGAAGGAGGGGGGAGAGAGGGGGAGTAAACCGGTGCATGAACAACATTATAATTATCACAAGCTCTGTGGATAAAACAGTAAGTATTGTGTGGGAACCGAGGTGGCCTAATCTCGTACGGAATGATGCAGACTCCCAATAGCTGGAGCGCGTCCCGTGAACAGGGAGGGGGAGGGATGGTGGTAAATAACAACTTCTACCACCACTTCTCCCTCAGCAACAAGGGTTTAACCGCCAGCCAGTCTGCTCGCCCCCACACGAGGCTGCAAAACACTCGTGATGCAACACATAGAGCGGACCGACCAACGGTGCCCCCCCCCCCCCCCCCCCCCCCCCCCCCCCCCCCCGGCCCCGAAGCCTCCAGAACAACACGGCTCCACCACGGGAGCTGCAGCGAGACGGCACATCTGGATGTCAGATCAGACGGAGATAAGCCTGGCAAAAAGGGCAAGAGGAGCAGGGAGAGTGAATCATTAGGTTTTAAAAAGGATACCAGGACTGATTCTCAGAGCTCTCCCCAACTCTGGACGACTCCTGGAAACAACTTCAAAAAGATAACTGGCTACAGGCTCCATAAAACACAGGGAATGAACAGTTTCTCCTCAACCATCCAAGATAAGGAGGAACACAGATAGGACGATTAAGCTGGCTATCTTTTAAGGCAGCTGCACTTGAAAGTAATGACCTGATATGGCTAAATAGTCTCTAAAGAGTCTAAAATACTTCACTGCAGCATAGGATGACAAAACCCCTCTTGGTATCCAAAGACATCACTTATTCGGTAAGCTACTCAGACATACATAGAGGTTGGCTCTGTATAATCAGTAAATACTTTTTTCAGCTTGACAACCGTGCATTTTTTACTTTATCCAATGGGTTTTGGAAAGAGGCCCCGCTGTTTAAAGTTCAAACATGGGAACTACCAGAGGAACAAAACAAGATAAAAAGTCAGAAAGCAACTCAGCATGAAAAGGTCCGATGAACCATCAACTCACATTGCTTGTGATCTGCCACAGGGGATTGTTTGTTTTTGGATTACTCTAATGTGTTTGTGTCTGATCTCACCCAACACACACAAAGCCAGCGAGATGCCGTCCTATAAAGGCAGTTATTCACTCGTCTGTCAAGAATATGATTCTCACCACTTGAAATGTTTGAATCCCTAAAGGAATCGAGATGTAAAAACGGAATTCTTCCTTTCACAGAAAAGCCTCTGCACAGCTTTATGATGGTACAACTAAGTATACAAAATCCTTAAACTGGCACCAAGAAACAACAACACTATTTAACTGCCAGGGACGATATACCTCCTGCAGAGATGTTCGTGAATCCCCCCCCCCCTCCTCATCCAACCCTCCACCCACCCTGCTCCCACTGAGGAAAACATGCCCTGTTTGTCTAAGCTCACCACATCTTCCCTGAAACAAAGTCAACAAACATGCATGGGCACATACTTGACTCAAAAAAGAGCACGGTTCTTATCCCTGTACAATGACAAACGTTTTTGGATCCGCCCATGTTTAAGGATTAAGACAAGCTGTTAACTCTTCAATGAATCAATCAATGAAAGCAGCCTAAGACAGGGAGGAATGAAGGGACATGGCTGTGTAAAGAGATCCCAGCCGTGTGTTGGGCCTTGAGAGGAGAGACAGTGGAGGCTTGGGAACGCTCTGCTGCTAGCTGTTGAAGAACAGAGACGTGCTGAGGTCATGAGTAAACACACAGGCTCGTCCACGGCTCAGAAGAGGGGGGGGGGGACTGGAAACACATCTGCTCTGCCTTTGATCCAAACTTCTGCGGCACAGCACGCCACTCACCTCGGCTGCCCACTCTGTGCCTGACTACAAAACATCGGCCACAATCCTAAACACTAGCTCTTCCTTCCCATGCTGCCCTCCTCGCTGTTGGTGCTGACTCACAATGGGAGCAAGATTATTATGAGGGATTAGAATCTTAAAATGTCAAGAAGAAGAAAAACGTTGTTTATGAGATGTTTGCTTCCCATGAAAATATAGTTGTTTTAAAAAGGCCCTACCTCTGCAGAGCAACAGTGAGTTCTAGGTTTAGGATGTGTAAGTGTTATAGTAATCTCTTAATATGACTCAACATCTCCAGACATGAAATTAAAGGTGTACACATGCTTAAACTGAAGTGCATCCAACAATTTCTTCAACTTTCCTACCTGACATTCACACCGTCTTCATCGTGATAGGCCAGGTGCCTGAAGTTTAGAAAATAAACAGGGATTGAATTCTTCTCTTAAGGTGTTTTTTGTTTTGTTTCATTGTTTATACAACTAATTCTTTAACTTGTTCTTGCATACTTAGTGTAGCACTGTAAATGCCTTCCAGTACAGACTGTCAGAGAACTGTTCACACCAGGTTCAGGTGTGGCAGTTTGGAACAGCTTTACATGTCTATGCCTTCAGACGAGGTTGTGTGACATGTCGCAAGAACGGGCTTGTTCCGAGCATACCTCAAGCTGAACTTGATCACTTGGGGCAGCAAAAACAAAAATAATTGACATACTATCAATATTTAAATTGATGTTTAGCATTTTAGCAAGTTAGCAATCTTAAACGTGACTCCCCTTTTAGATCTGTTGCTTTTCCCACAAGCTCCTGCTACTACATGTTCAAATAAGATAACCTGCTAGTCACTAAATGTGTCTGTTTGGTGCTTGGTGTGTATGCTTGGTGTGGTTATCAGAGCTTTTTGTTGAATAAAGATGCCTGAGCCTGCTGGACATGTTGTTGATGAGAGCTGTGAGATTCCATCTAAAAGTAAAGTTGATGTAAAACCAAACAGATGAGCTAACACTTTGTAGAGTTGTTGGGAACGGCACATTTGGGTGAAAATTGTCACTATGAGCAAGCCCATTCACATTTATTGAGATGTGGTTAATCAGCACACAATATTTACATTTTTTGTATTTTGGTATTGACTCTAGGTTTTGGAAATCTATAATAAATCTAACCCCCTACGCTAAAGGAAATGACTAAATATCACTATTTCCTCTTCTAACAGATCCACAGCCGAAAACATGACTAATAACAGCCCACAGGACTACAGTATGATGAAGTGTGTGACTGAGATGTTGGTTTTGACAGGACAAAGGGTCATCCATCATGTCACCTTGGTTCCCTCACAACATAACCCCCTGACCCTATGAGAAGTGCTAATTGTATGAGGCTACATTTCCACTGTGGTTAAGGATTTTTGTTCAGCAAGTCACACAAAATGAATCCTCACAACAAAACACCGCTAAATACAGGGAATGCGGCATATGTTTGGGACTAGCAGGTTAGTGCTGTCAGAAGTTGTGGAATAAAATATATTTGTTTACACATTGACATAGGCTCCATTATTTTTAGATGGCAACATTATTAAGCCCTACATCAGTCGTGACTCACTGCATACATTCTTCTTTTTTTTTTCTTTCATGGCAACACTGAAAATGCCAAGACTGAAGTTTCTGACAAATTGGAACGGAGCAAACGATTTAAACAAATGATTGTTTTTGTCATGTGAAAACCGTTCGCCCTGCTGTCTGGTATCTTTCCCTTTACAAACCACATTCGAAGCTGGGCTAGTGAGAGCTCCACCACAGGACTCCCACCCTCCAATTCCCTCTGCTCGTACTGTATGAGCCCTGAGAACCACATCCCGAGGAGAGGAACGCAATCGACAGCAATGCCTCCTTGAACTGGAAAATTGGTTACACAATCTGAACTTTTCACTGACGACTGTGCTGCTCCACTAAAAATATTACAATCACTGCTTTCATTGGAAGCCAAACTGTGGATAGTGCAGAGACCTATCAAAGGGAAACAATAGCAAAAGAAAAACAGCAGGCCGCTGATCATGGGATGTGATGGGAGAGATGTCTGTCCTTGATGTGAGTGCCAAGGTGAGAGGCTCCTCCACCATTTCCCATAATACTCCTGGGAGTTTGAGATCAAGTGAGCACTGGCCAAAGGAGAGTTGTCCATAATATGAATGGACAAAAAGGAACTAATGTACAGTAAAAGGTCTTATGACAGTACATCCAAATATATACAGTGTGAATTCCTACATGAAAATGACCAACTGAACCCACCTTCATCTGAAACTAATCGATCAAGGCACATGAGAGTCAACTGCACACAATCACATTACCTGAATCTACTGTAAAAATGTGTGTGAGTGTTTAGTCGAGCCATGAGTGATATGCTTTAAAACGGGTTAAATCATGTGTTAATGATGCATTATATTTAGTGTATATCAAACTATGTGTTTAAAAACGTCCTGTGGTTAAAGGGTAGACAAAATTCTGATTTCTTTCAAATATAAATTACATGTTCTGACAATGTAAACATTGACTGCATTTTGCAACAATGAGGTTGGATAAACGTTGTAGATCTCTCTTGATTTTCCCAAGAGCTAAATTAGTTTTGGCTATATTTTTGACGACCCATTAATGTTGAGGTTTGCAACAAGCCACATTTGCGCTTGACAAAAACAACAACCCAAATTGTACTGCTCGGGTGAATTGGCAGAATTTGAGAGCAGTGACATTTTGAAGAAGTGATGACTCTGCATCGTTGGACCCCACCTCACTTTTTCCATCCCCCTGCCATCATCTCCTTCCTCCGCACTATAGCCCCCCCCCCCCTCCCTCCACGCCTCACGTAACGAGGATCAGCAGCACATGTTAAATAGAGAGCACAATTTGGCAACACATCCCTATAATAACACACAGGCCCATGCAGGACTTTTCGCCAGGCGACTGGAAGAGGAAATAGAGGAGTATAAACAGCACTCACCGCGGCCAGGCTCGGGTTTCCATAGTGCGCTGAGGCATCCTCCGGGCAGCTCACACACACTACATAGCGTTCAGGAAACACACGCATATCTGAAGGCAGGCAAAGAAACAACACAGACCATGCTAGTTAATAACATGGGCTCACCTCTAATTATGAGTCAAAGTCAGACGGAGGGAATTGTGGTGAAGGTTTAAATGTACATCTACAAACACCAAGTATTCAGCTCAGACCAAGGAGAGAATGGCAGCTCAGAGATAACTGTTGAGCTTTATTAGCCGCGTAAGCAGCATGAAATATCACAAAACGGCTCTTGGGAGTTATAAGACTATTCCATCGGCTTCAAAGGCAGAGACCATTTACATCAACAATACTATTACACGCAGTATATCATGATAATAAATCAAACTGTCCGTAAGCAATCCAGAACGTTTGTAACATTACTCTGTCTTCTGCATCACCATGTGTTTCTCGCGGGCTCAATAAAAAAAGAATATTGACAAAAAAGTCACTTCCTGCTAGAACAAATAACAGGAGCGTTGGCACAATCTTACAATATTCTCCATTTGCATTCTTGATCCACAGAGTGTGTGCAAAGAGTTTACAGCTGTGGGTTAGTATTAGTCCGTAAAAGCTCATATTCCTCCTCAGTGGCCATTATTTAATACATTGGTCTTGCTTCACTTGTGTGGATCAGCCGTTAATAAACACAGCCAAGACACAAACTTTGGTTAATAAGCAGGCTATAAACTTGCATACAAACACCTGTATAATGTAAACACAACTGGTGTGCAGTATTTGAAAAGGATGACTTTGTTGGTGGGAGGTTTGGATGTCAATTAGGACTATAACTTGCCAGAATACCAAACAAAAAACAGTAGGAACAAATCTTGGCCTCTGAAGATGAATTCCCTGTCCACTATCAGGCCACACATGTAAACTGTAAAATAAATATTTAAAAGACCTACAACTCTCAGAAAAATACATTTACTGAGCAAAGGTGTGATCAGAGGATATTCCACAAGCATTTCTTTAGACCTACACCAGTGAAAGTTTAGAAAGTACTCAATTGATATCTCATAAAACAACAGGCAGACTGCCACGACATTTACTGAGAATATTATGTCCCCGAATGGAATAAATTACCTTCTTGCTGCTCCCCTAATGGCCAGCTTGGGACAGATTTGACAGTTTTTGCTCAACTAAGAGTAGAAACATTGTTGGAATGTTTGTGTTGTAGGGTAAAATTAAAAAAAGTAGTTAATCAGAAAAATACCACTGCATTCTGACTGGCTAATTACATGTATAGTATTAGATTGTGTTTTAACCAAGTAGTCTTCCTAACCTGATTCAAAGCATACAAGTTTGCCAAGTATAACTATCAGAATAAAACCTTTTTAACCATCTGTATAATATATGATGGCCTGACCACTCTGTCCAGCTAACTCAGAGGACTGAATTACACAACCTTTGACCCCAGGAGACGGGCTCTAATTCGATGCGTAACGGACCTGCTGAGAGAAGCCGTCATCTCAGTCTGCAGCCGGTCAGTGCTGCCTCAACATTCAGGCCCCCAGGGAACAGATATTAACTTTACTGACAGGAAGGGAGCCATGTTGGTCCCATGAAAAGGTGGCCAAGGGTCACAGGCACTAGATGGGCCATGCAGATAGATTCTCACTGCCCTCCATAGACAGCCCTCCAATCGTTCTCTCTCTCCCACTCTCAGTAGCCTCTCGAGGGAACCACTTAATGGCTGCCTGTTCTCAACAACACCCCGAGCAGGTAGGGACAGGACATAAAAACAAGTGAGGGGGAGAAAAATCAACATGTAAACCACTGATGTCTTACTCGTTCTGTGGGAAATGTGGCTGAGTATGTGCCTTTGAGACGTCTATTTCTGATTCATTTAACTGGGAGTTGATACTTTAAAACATGGAACATGTAGGTTACATACCCCCATAGAGCTGCTTCACGATACATCTGAGGTTGAAGTGCCGTTTCAGAAAATTTGCAACCAGGTGAAAACTTTTTCCTATAAAAGAAACAAAACAGAAACACAGTTAAGAGTAAAAACTAGCAGAAAGACACATTAGAAAAACTCCTGTGCATGTGACACTGTTTCTAAGGCTTAAATATAAAGTAGTTTAAGGAGTAAATCAAAGGACACACTATGTAAATATTTGAATTCCGATTGAAAGCACTTTCTATGATGAGATTGGGCTCTTGGGCTGCAAAAATGTCAGCTCTAAGACTCAAACTTAGGTCAACACTTCAGGGATAAAGCAGTTCTACTGCTTTAACACAACAACCTATGCTCATTCTTACACATTATTGTACTATAAACTCTATAGGCTATGCTTAAAGGTCCCATGACATGCTTTGCCTGTTATTAGCCCCCTTGTGTGTTATGTAGCTTGTTATGCATGTAAACGGTCTGCAGAGTCACAAACCCTTAAAGTACACCCTGCAGCGAGTAAAACTCGAACACAGAAAATACCTGTCTATGCTGCCCCAGAACGCCTCGTTGGAGATTTCTCTTTTTCCATTTTTCCAGCCTGGCTGTGAGTGTGTGTGTGCTCAGGCTGATTTCCGCGGTGTCTCGCAGACCCCACACAGCAACCAGGAAACGACACCAGTAATACAGCTCACACTGTCTGCTCCTCGATCCTCAAAGGGCGGAGCAGCGAGCCGCGCAACGTCCCGCCAACACGGCACCCAGACCCCACGCAGCATTCTCATCTGTTTGTCATTATTGGTGTCATTTTCTGGTTGCTAACAAACGCCATTGTAACACATAATCACTGATGTTCCGCTGTAACGGTGGTGGACTCATCAGAACAGAGTGGGCGAGCTGACCAATCAGAGCACAGTGGGCTCATAGGGAGGGGGGGCAGGAGCTCCAACAAGCCGTGTAGGACAGAGTGAATACACATCCTATACAGAGATGCTGTATGAGAAACCAATGTGAGTTTGGAACATTGAACAATGTAAATCTATTCTAGTAGACCTCAACAATGGAATTATGATCAGTAGAAATGGCCATGTCACGGGACCTTTAAAATATGATCTTCTAATGTCCTGCCAATCTTAATCTCATGCTCAATCTAAGGGCCATACTTTTGAAGCATCTGACTCATCCCTGCAGTAAGAAACTATTTATTCTGTGTTAATCCAGTTGACCTCCCAGTTTGGGACAAACAGAGAAACCACCTCTGCTCCATTTGTCATGGAATGTTTGTCATGGTATGTAAGACGTGCGAGGCAGAGTCACAGGCCTGTTGCCTCATCTGGTAAGGATTTGTTGATTTAAAGTGAGGGTCGAGCAAACACGCTATGCAGTTGTTTCTTGTAAACAGAACAACAGTTCTGGGAAAGTGACAGTGGCTGCCTACCCTTTTGTACCTTCTTGCTACCATTTCCTTCTTCTCCTTAAAATAATTGTAATGTTGTATCCTCTTTGACTCGAGCATTACCACTCATGTTTATTTTTCTGGCTTTGTTATGTAGCTGTTGCTGTGTGGAAACCTCCGTAAGTGCTAACTATGGGGATTTTTGGTATTTTAAGGTCAATTAAAGGATTACACATCTTCGTAGTTAGAGAAGAATCCTGACCTTCTGCACTCGAGGCTCTTTCAGAACTCCCTGGATAATGTCAAATATGAACTGTTATTGAGCAAAAAACGAGGCTTTGAAAGGCTGTCATTTTGTAATTGGGGAGGTTTTCACCCGTTCGGCAAAAACACTGAGAGAAACTCGTAAATAAAACTTGGACAAGTCTCCTCTTGTGGATTTTCAGCTATGACAAATACTGTATGTCCCACACGTATTGTTACTGTACAACACTCAGGGCAGACTGCAGGGTAACAGCGTTGTGTGAGGGGGTCTTCAATAACATTCCTCCTGGTCCGCTGGCTGTTGTCATCTCAGCACCAATTCAAAGCATTTCATTATCGTCTTCAAAAAGAAACCATCTTGGGATTCTTTGGATAATGACATGTAATTACAATTCAATTCAATTCAATTCAAAACCTTTATTTATACAGATAAAACCCATTGAGATCATAGACCTCTTTTACAATGGTGACCTGCTTCAATTAGTTCCAAACATTAATACAAACATGACAGAAAACAAAGGACAATTACAGAGACAGTGTGTCACAAAACTGCCACAGGTATACACTGGACAGTGATTTAACGGCCCACCATGGCTTTCTTTTTCTTAGTGTTTGTGGATGAATCAGGAACTAGGATCATTTCACTAGCAAACACTTCTTAGAGTAGCGAATAAAACAATAATACATCAAATGAACACATCAGTAATTCGATTCAACAAACCAAGCTCCATTTTTCAAGTAGGAATACATCCTTATAATTAAAGTTAATACCAGTTGAAATAAAACTAAATTGAGAGATCAAAGTGCCTTTGAAATATGGATACCGGTTTGTTACTTTGATACCAAGCAATTACGATCAATATTTTTCCAAAACTATCAAATGTAATTGGAACCTAGGTGACAGGCTACACCTATGGGAACACATCTGATCCTCAAAAGCTCTTAAGTAAAGATTCAGCCTTCAGCTAAATCCACAAGTTGGACAGCTTAGTCAAGATGTGTGAACATACATAAAGTCTCTCAAGAGACGGAACAAAATCTAATCCATCAAATTATAGGTCAGTGTTAGATTCCTTCTCTGCTCCATTATTTTTCATTCTAGCAAAAATAATCAGGGACTGATTTATACACCATGCAGGGCACCAACTCAAAGCATTCACTCAGCTTTGAAGAGACAAATAAGTAATAAGACATATTTTGGTGAATAATAGATATTTATAGGAATCATTGATTGTACATTTCCGTTACCAGGATAATCGTGACTATTCGAACATGGCAGTGAAGTTGATACAGCCATGGATACACTGGCTACAAGATAATTGCATAGCACGAATAGAGACTGAGTGCTAACTTAGCTTTAAAGGGGCCCTATTATATTTTGTTGGGTTTACCCTTTCCTGTAGTGTGTTGTATTTTTGTGGTCTGCAAAGGCTGAAATCCTAAACGCCTGAAACGCCTCGATTGTAGTCCTTTGTTTACTTCTGTAAAAGAATGACATCAATGTGTAACACTCCAGCTTATAGTGGCTAACGCTCCAACACATTGTACGGGTGGGAAATCTGTTAACAGTTGACCAATCAAGACAGAGCTGGCCAGCTAACCAATCAGAGCAGACTAGGCTCTGGTTTCAGACAGAGGGTGAAAAGAGGTGCTGCAGCACAGGCAGAATAAGAAAAAGACCTTTTTGAACATTAAATCATGTAAACATGTCCCAGTAGTAGAGGCATAAACATTTATGAACCTGAGAATTAGCATAATAGGGCCCCTTTAATTTCAGCGGGTTCATCAATGTATAATGATAGTAGTTGTATTTTTGTCCATAATGCAGTTGAGCAAATAAACATAAAACATACCACTAACATAGTATTTGGGTTGCAAATATTTTTTGCATAAGCCGCTGACATATTGGTTATTTTACTAGTGGAGGTCTTCCAGGCTTCTTATGCAGACGTCTTTAGTTTTTGTTTGTTTGGGGGGCTTAAGTCAGATCTTCAGCAAGTAAAAAATATGTTGGATTGAAATCAGTAGATTTACATGGCCAAACAACCAAAAGATTAGTCATTCCTGTGGACTATACAGTACAAAGTGGACGTTTTGAACCAGGAGACACATGGTTGTCGTTTGCTAGATTCATGAGTATAAATGCTATTGGAGTAGCTCTCACTAAATTGTCTTTAGAGTTATGGTCTTTGCAAGTCTGTCCCTTAATAAGTGATGTTCACAAAGTATGTAGGATAAGTCAACAAGCTTTAAATAGAATGGTTAATTGATCCCAAAGGAAAATTGCATAAACACGCTGTATGCTATGCTGAGCATGTTTGTAGTTAACAATAGCAGCATTCCTTTATTGGAAAGAACTTCAGATATTCTATTATTCTTAAAATAGGGAAGCAGTCCTCATCTATCGCCAGTTCTGGATGTCTAACCAGAGAGGAATGCAGATCTGAATCTCTGTTGTGTTTTCTCTGCCCATTCTTGGTTCAGAAGGGAAGCATCATTCATTGAACAATCATGGCTTTCTATATTTTCAGAAGCTTAGATCTTTGTTCCATAGACTCTTTGACTTCATGTTTGGCTTTACAAGTATTCTCATTGGTGTCCCTGGTGGGCCAAGCTAGCCAATTCCCAGGACAAGTCTGACAGGGACGTCTGGACACAGAGTTGGGAACCAGTGCAACGCCATGGCCCGAGACATCAGCTGTTGCTCCAACTTAATAACGTCCTGCACAGCGCAGAGTTGCTCTTGGCCCTCTGCCCGGGTCCTCTCGTGCTAAGCTTGCATTCATGTTTCTCTTTCACAAACAGTTTGCTAGTGCCTCCTCTGGGAATGAGTGGCCCCTTTCTGTGGCAACTGTGGCCCACAGTGGTGCAATACTCAAATCTGCAGAGTGGAGACTTTAAAGGATTTCATTTGTACTTCCTGCAAGAGAAGATGGCCGTGCTTAATTGTTTTGAAACCCGATGAACAACAATATTATAACAAGGTCAAATCAAACAGTAAACAAGCCAGCACGCCATGTTTTCAGAAATGTGGTAGATAATATCGAAACCACTTGTATTGAGAGTTATACCATCTTGTAATATACCACAGAACAACTGCGGGAAAAAGACAGACTCCACAGTGCTGGTGCCAAGGCTAGAATACTGTACTATCGAGACACACACACACATATGCACACACACATCCCTGCAGCTTTCACCGCTTCCTGGGAAAACAATGAGAGGAAAGAAAAGTCAACAAACCAAAAGGCATCCAGAGTGACGAGGACTGTAAAAGGGAACAGAAAGGGGTGAGAAACTCTCAGAGCAGGGTCAAAGGTAAGCCCCCATGGAACAGACTTCATTAACTTCAGTTATATCCTGAGGAGATCATTAAAAACAGCCATAGCTAACACAGCCTTCTTCTTCTCGCCATCCG